ATGTTATCACTCTCCTGTCCTGCTAGCTTGAGTATTTAGGGCTCATATAAACATGTAAACCCTAACACATCCTTGCAAAAGGTCCAGACTTTAAAAAATAATCCCGGCTCCAAATACATACTGTCAAAAGAAGCTATCAACTAGCACCACTTATACTGTCCCTTCAGTGAAGGGGGAGAACAGAAGTGCATTTTGGGAAGTTTGTGCCATTTATTATTTATAAATCCTAAACACTGACATATGTTTTCAATAAAAGACCAAGTGAAAAACACTTCACAAACTTGCACAACCTTTGTGATGAATATATATTTCATATCCCACAGCAAACCAGTAACTCAGGAGACATATTTCATTGGCCTTTTTCTAATGTGCACCGTGACTCAGCTTCAGCCCGGCAACTCAGCAACCTTTAAGGCAGTGGTGGGCAACCTGTGGCACATGGGCCAGGTGCAGCCCATCAGGGTTCTAGGTGTGACCTATGAGACATTTTGTTTACCATTGCCCATGCACCGTGTTGCGATTCCGCTGGTTTTTGTTAGGTAGTATTCTTTCTACTGATATTACTAAAATGACACACACACAAAGTAAGGGTGTGAGAGGTGAGCGCATGCTGACTGCACACAATGTTAACCGTGAGAGCTGTGCGTGCCTTCTGCATCCAATCGAACTTAAAGTAAATAAATCAGAAATAATATTTTGAGAGCAAAATCTTTGGTGTTTGGGTCCTTCTCCCTCCCTCTTACCTAATATTTTCTCTACTGGTTTTTACTGACATTTTTACTGATGTTCTCTACTGACATTAGTACTAGTCAGAGGTACCAGAATGACAACCCTGGAAACTAAAATCCTTTGCTTGTCCACAATACAGACACCGTCTAGGTAGTAGCAGGGCGAGTTTCTTCCCTATACTGTTGTACCTCCCTAAACCAGAACTCTCTGGCAACATCCATGGTCTGACAGGGGGGCCCATGAGCCCAGGGGCAGGGAGGTCTGTTGACAAGTTTGGGAACACAGTAGCGGGGCTCATGGCAGAGGGATCTGGCAGCACAGTGGGGAGCATTGCAGGGAGCTCCGGTTCCGGGGAGCTCTGGCTGGGCCAGTAGGTGGGAGGCCGGTGCCTGAGCCCAGCAGCAGTGGGTGCAGGGCCAAAGCCCAAGCCTGGGGGCAGTAGAACCAGGTGCAGGCTGGAAGTGTCTGGCAGTAGGGAGGGGCAGGTTCAGGGCCCTCCTTAGGCCGACTTGGGCCCTGCGTCCCTGGACCCGGAAGTCGGCTTCCTCGGTTAGCCTCGGCTCGGCTAGGCTCCCCCTTACCTGCGCATGCTGCCAGCTGCTGCTGCCGTGCGCGCCGTTTGCAGGTGAGCGCGGAGACGCCTGGCCATGACATCACGCCTGAGATTTTAAAACTGAAAAGGCAGCAGCGCACGCAGTTCTTCCCCACAGAAGGCAGAAGGTAAGGGAGGGGGAAATAGGGGGAAGGGCTGGGAGAGAAAGGGGCTTGGACGATGGGGGAAGGGGGGGGAAGGAAGAGGCTTGTGCCGAGGGCGGGGAAGAAAGGGGAAGGTACCGAGAGACAGGGTGGATAGAGCAGAGGAAATGGGGAAAAGGGCAGACAATGAAATAGATGGGACAGAATTAAAAAAAAAAAAAAGGAAAAATGATCGCAGTAACAAGGAATGAAAGGTAGGAGGTAAACAGAGGAACCAGACAACATGGACTAGAAGGAAGACAATAGTAAAGGCAGAGACGCTGGTCTGGATCCACAGGTGCCTGGGAGCTTTGCTCAGCACACTTGAACAGATGCCATGCAGAAATACTGGTATCCTCTGATCCATGGAGCTGAATTGGTCTCTGGCACAATTTAAAGCTACATCTGTTTTTCAATGTATTACTGGGGCAAGCTCCAGCAAATTTTCTTCATCTCCACTCATTCCAACTTACCTTTGGGACTGACAACCTGTGGAAAATTCAGCCCCTCAGTCAGTACAGCTCCATTCAATTTCCCATTTTTCAGTTTAATCTCAATCATCTGTTAGGGGGCTTTCAGATCTTATTGGGGGAGTACACTGGCTCTAACTTAATCTAATTTTTATTTTTTTGAAGTTTCCTCCGAGAAGGTCAATATGCAGGCATCACTGATTCTAGACAAGGGTCTGAGCCTGACAGAAAGAGCATAGTATTCTAGGGATATAACATTCTGGCTACTTTTGGGTGTTATTGGATCAATAACCATCTTTAAACACAATTTTTGGGCTTAACATGGCTTCTAGAATACATGAATACCCGAGGCAGCTGACTTCTGGGAGCAGAGGCGTGGGGCCGGCTGAATCGGCTTAAGGCTGGCCCTGGAGGAAAGTACCAAGAGACAGGGTGGAGGAGAGACATATGCCAGGGGGCCAAGTACAGACAATGAGGAAAATGGCAAGAGGGGAAGTGTCAGTGGGAGGGGGGACAGGGTGATGCTGGGATAGGAGAGGAGAGGAGAAGAGAGGACAGGAGAAGGGCACTGGGGGCTAGAGGCGGGAGGGGGAAGTGCTGGGAGAAGGCTTGAAAGAAGGGATGGGCATGAGAAAGGTGAGGATGGAGCAAGACGTGTGAGGGCACAGAGGCATGAGGGGGATGGGGGCAGACAGTTGTGAGGGGATGGGCATCAGGGGAAAAAAGGGCAAAGAAGGCAGGGGCAGTAAGGGAAGGGGAGGCACCAGGAGGGTGTAGGGGTAAGGGAAGGTGCAGGTGCTAGGGTATTCTGGGGGTGAAGCAGAAGAGCAGACACCTGCAGGGGAGGGACCAGCACCAGAGGAGAGAGGCAGGGCAGGTGTTAGAAGAGGGGTAGCTCACATGATCAGAGAGGGGCTACTGGAGGAGTGGGCACAGGGGGGAGAGAAGGGTTGGTGGAGGGGGGCAGGTCGCAGGAAGGCTGACAGCAGTGAGAAGGGCAGGAGTCAGGACAGCAGAGGAGGGTGAGGAGTTGGGGGGCAGCAGGCACCAGGGGAGATGATGGAGTAAGGAGAGGAGACATGGCAGCAGAGAGAAAAGGTAAAGGTTTAGAAAATATTTATTAATAACTTGGTATGCTGCACACGGCCAGTTTGTTTGCGCCCCGCGGTGCAGTTTGGGTTTATGTGGGGATCAACATGTGGCCGGCAAGTGGGAGCCAAAACAAAAAAGTAGTCAGTGTAATGATCTTCTGTTAATATGTATTTTAGTAGTTAAATTCTTGGACTGTCATTGCTCAAGAAAAGTGCTGTCACGGGTAGAAATCGGGTAAATATTTCATTTTATTAATATCAGCAGAACTGACTTAAATGGGGCCTGTCTGTTGTGTAGTCTTGCCTTAATCTTTGTATTCATGCTTGTCAGTGTGAGATAAGCTATTTGTATGTATTTGCTTGAATATGCAACCACACTTAAGCTGAGGCCCTCAGCATGTTCTGTAACTATCAGTGTGGCCCCTGGGGCTTCCAAAGTTGAGTTGCCCTAGCTCATCCCTGACAGGTGTCTGTCTAACCTGGTCTTAAATATCTGCAATTTAAGCCCATTGCTTCTCATCCTAACCTCAGAGGCCAAGCAGAACTATTTTTCTTCCTCCTCATGATACTCTTTTAGATACTTGAAAGCTGCTCTCATGCCCCTTTTCGGTCTTCTCTTTTCCAAGGTAAACAAGGCCAATTTCTTCAGCCTTGCCTCATATCTCATGTTCTCTAGACCTTTCATCATTTGTGTTGATCTTCTCTGGACTTTCTCCAGTTTCTCCACATTTCCTGAAATGTGATGCCTAGAACCGGACACAATACTCCAGCTGGGGCCTAAGGTGGATGGCTCATTCCCTACCTAGGGGACGTGAGACTGGGTGGGTTAATTTCCAATCCTCCTATTTATTCTTTTCCTAAGTTAGGAGGGCACAGTAATTCTGATGCGGGTTGGAGAAGGGATGGAAGCCAGATCCAAGATCAATGAGCCCTGGGAAGTGGGCCCATTGAAAGGAGACTGGACCTGTGGATGCCTTGGGGGGGTCTGCAACAAGGGCCTGCTTTGGAAAGCCCCCTCTTTGGAGGTGAATGTGGCAGCATTGAGACACCACCCA